ACACACACACACACACACACACACACACACACACACACACACACACAGCAAATACAGTACAGTACTGTGTTAAACATAAACTACTAAAAAAAATAAAGGGAAAGCAGCATTTTTCTTCTGCATAATAAACTTTCAAAGCTGTATTAAGTTAATGTTCAGTGGTAAACTCTTGAAAGAACACCCATAAACATTTGTTCAGAGTTACGAACATTTCAGAGTTACAAACAACCTCCATTCCCGAGGTGTTCGTAACTCTGAGCTTCTACTGTAGTAGGTTGTCATCCTCCACTGGGACCAGCCACTAGAGGGGGATGAGACACTTTGCCAGTGGGTTTCACAGATATTTGCTGACAACAGAGAAATGATGAGACTCAGGGACCCTGGGCTCCATTCCGGGCTCAGGAGGGGAGCATGCTCTCTAGTGGGTAAAGTCCTTTCTGCCCATTTCCCCCAAAGCCTGACCCCCTTCCTGCCCTGTATTTTCCAATCTGTCCCAATTTGTCTCCTAGTCCCAGTGCCAGTCTCCACTGCTCCCCACGTTCCACATTCCAGGCCCAGTCTCCTTGCCCAGCCAGCCCTCATCTCCCCCTGGGGGCACCTCAAACCAGTCGCAGACTTCCCCTCACGCTAGCTCCAGTCTATTCTCCCAGGCACCTTGTCTCAGTCTCCTTGCCCAGCCAGTTTAAGACACTCCCAACTCCTTGTCCTCTGTCAGTCTCCCCCACCTCCCCATCCTCGCATTGGCTTCTTGTCCCAATCTACCCCATCCCCACCCAGCTCTTGTCCCTCTGCGCTCAAGTCAGGTTGCTTCCTCCTCCACACTCCCTGGGCCCCAGCAAAGGGTCACTGAGCGCACAGGACACAATATCCCTGCTCTCAGCTCTGGTGCCACAGCAGCCCCATTCAGCCAGGGACAGCAATTGTAGGGAAAGTCCTGCTCAGCCCCTGCAGCCTGGGATGGTGTATGTGCAGTCCAGCTGCTATGTAGGAGCTATGGGGGGATAGAGGATGCTCAAAGCAAACAGGATCTTCAGAGAATTTAGCCATTGCATTTTAACAAGTGTGAAATAAGATTTCCTGAAGGCTTGTAACTTGACCAATGTTGGTGAATTTTCATGGAAACAGCAAAAGGCACATCCCTGACACAAATGCCTTGCCAAATTTCAAGTTTGTACCCCAAAGTTTGGGGGTGCTATAGTTTGTCAATGAAACAGCAGTAAGTACTTTTTAAAAACTTGGGTAAAACAAAATACTCTTCCCCAATCTCGCTCTCAGAAAAACAATTGAACCTTTTTAGGTGAAACTTTAAAAAAAAAATCCTGTGGCAGACACCTGGCATGGAAGTTTCAATGCAAACAGTTAAAGTCTGGCAAAGATAGAAGCAACTGAAAACAGGGTCTTATAACAGGAAGCATTGGGCAAGCTGAACTCCGGGCAGCACTATCTGTGCTGCCTATTGTGTTTGAAAACCACTCCTAACCTGTCAGGTGCTAAGTGAGCATTACAGGCAGTCAACACTGCATTACTGAAGTAGAGAGAGGGGAAAAGTATTTGACTTAAATCAAGTGAACAGTGAACAAATTAGGTGATAAAAAAGAAATGGGTAGAAATAGGGACAGAATGCCAGGGAAGAAGCAGGAGCGTGTGAGCGTCATCTCTCTGCATAGCACGGAGGGAAAGACAATAGCTCTCTCTGTATAGCTGTCCCATCTGGGCAGCATTGAGATCTCATATGTCAGTGCAGTACCATTTGCTTGCGATGAGCTGCCTGTTTGCCCTCTGATCCATGGAACTGTGTCTCCTTTTTACCCCAACCAACAGTGATGAACTTTCCTACAGGAGAGACAATTGCAATATCTGAGACTTACAAAATGACACCATGCAGTTTGACAGACAAATAGAACCCCAAAGCGGCATTGCCTTCCTAGCCTATTGTGCAGGCTTTTACAGGACAAGCTCTTAGAGCTATTCTGCGGGATGCATTTCCTAGTGATACATGTGGCTAACAGCACTGCAGCAGCTGGGTAACTTTGCAGCAGGTTTGACACATTTAGAGCCTCTGCTGCCAAGAAAATATTTCACTCAGCTGCAATTTACTAACTTGACAGTAGTATCCTGCTGCCTCCTGGGCAGAGTTCATGCAGGTTTGTTTGTTCATTTCTTTCATTTTTATGAGATACCAATGAAATACTTTTGAGTGTCTGTGTCACTGCAACAACTCACCTTCCCCAAAGTCATCCTGGTGGATCTCCCTTTCAGTAATTGGTTCAAAGTCCTTTGTCATCATTATAAGAGTTTGCTGACCTGCATGGTAAACATACGAGCCAGGATTAAAAATTACGTGTCTGGTATTCTCCAGTGCCAGAGAGAAGGTTGAATTCAGTTTCCCTGTTTGTCACATAGCAAAAGCAAAGGGGAAAAAAATCACTCCCAACAACAAGAAAATATGATTGTAAAGCCATAAAAATTGGCAGGGAGACTCAGAGGCAAGCAGTTCTTGAACATTACTTCGAATTCAACTTTGAAACTGACTAGATTTTAAGTTGACACCAGTTCCTATAAGTAGAGAAGGTCTTAAAGCAAAACCACAAATCCAATGCAGTAACATCCAAAAATCTAGTGAAAAACACAACATTTCTTACCTCTACAATTACAATTGTAAAATCTCAGTGTTATTTCACCTCCGCATGAAGTCATGGTTATCTTTTTAATGAGTCCTATCCATTACCAAGAAAAGCAAGCAGCATATGGAATGTTAACTCTGCAGCTGCTTTGGTTTAGTGCTGTAAGTATTCTGAATGTAATTTGTATCAAAGACAACACAGAAATTAAGTTGCACTGCATTGCACGTCTGTCCTGCAGACATGTGTAGCATTTTGTATACAGCACTTGATGCCAAAGCAATCAAAATTAATAATGGTAAATACAGTCACGATAACTTCCTATGGGAGAACAGGTGCTATACGTATTTTACAAAGAACACAATGCTACTACTCAAACTAGTTGGAGTTGAGGACATTTAGTGCTTTACAGGTAATGTTTAGCACCTTGTAGGATTGGGTCTTCATATGTACAGCACCACTGCAATGCAGCCACTTCTGGGGTAAAGGCCAATAAGCACGCTGCACAATAATGGGGGTCACTTGCCAGGGTTATCTTGGTGTATGTCACTAATCAATTCCCTGCCATTCCAGGGACCTTGGGCACCGGGGCACCTCAGGCCCTCCTGTTCTGTCTGTGGAACACAATAGTTTAGACTAGGGCTGTTGATTAATGGCAGTTAACTCATGCAATTAACTCAAAAAAATTAATCGCAGTTTTAATCGCACTCTTAAACAATAGAATACCAACTGAAATGTATTAAATATTTTGGATGTTTTTCTACATTTTCATGTATATTATATTCTGTATTGTAATTGAAATCAAAGTGCATATTTTTATTACAAATATTTGTACTGTAAAAATAAAGAAATAGTATTTTTCAATTCACCTCATACAAGTACTGTAGTGCAAACTCTTTATTGTGAAGGTGCAACTTACACATTTAGAATTTTTTTTGTTACATAACTGTACTCAAAACCAAAACAATGTAAAACTTCAGCGCCTACAAGTCCACTCAGTCTTACTTCTTGTTCAGCCAAATGCTAAGACAAACAAGTTTGTTTACATTTGTAGGAGGTACTGCTGCCCTCTTCTTATTTACAATGTCACCAGAAAGTGAGAACAGGGGGAGGGATAGCTCAGTGGTTTGAGCATTGGCCTGCTAAACCCAGGGTTGTGAGTTCAATCCTTGAGGGGGCCATTTAGGGATCTGGGGCAAAAATCTGTCTGGGGATTGGTCCTGCTTTGAGCAGGGGGTTGGACTAGATGACCTCCTGAGGTCCCTTCCAACCTTGATAGTCTATGATTCTATGATTTGCATAGCACTTCTGTAGCTGGCATTGCAAGGTATTTACCTACAAGATATGCTAAACATTCGTATACCTCTTAATGCTTCGGTCACCATTCCAGAGGACAAGCTTCCATGCTGATGACGCTCGTTAAAAAAAATAATATGTTAATTAAATTTGTGACTGAACTCCTTGGGGAAGAATTGTATGTCCCCAGCTATTTTACCCACATTCTGCCATATATTTCATGTTATAGCATGACCCAGCACATGTTCATTTTAAGAACACTTTCACTGCAGATTTCACAAAACGCAAAGAAGGTACCAGTGTGAGATTTCTAAAGATAACTACAGCACTCGACCCAAGGTTTAAGAATCTGAAGTGCCTTCCAAAATCTGAGAGGGATGAGGTGTGGAGCATACTTTCAGAAGTCTTAAAAGAGCAACACTCCGATGTGGAAACTACACAACCCGAACCACCAAAAAAGAAAATTAACCTTCTGCTGGTGGCATCTGACTCAGGTAATGAAAATGAACATGCGGCAGTCCATACTGCTTTGGATTGTTATCGAGCAGAACCCATCATCAGCATGGACGCATGTCCCCTGGAATGGTGGTTGAAGCATGAAGGGACATATGAATCTTTAGCACATCTGACACGTAAATATCTTGCAACGCCAGCTTCAACAGTGCCATGAGAACGCCTGTTCTCATTTTCAGGTGACATTGTAAACAAAAAGCGGGCAGCATTATCTCCTGCAAATGTAAACAAACTTGTTTGGCTGAAGTAAGACTGAGTGGACTTGCAGGCTCTACAATTTTACATTGTTTTATTTTTGAATGCGGGGGAAGGGGGGTTGTACATAATTCTACATTTGTAAGTTCAACTTTCATGATAAAGAGATTTCACCTAAGTACTGTAGTGCATTGAAAAATACTATTTCTTTTGGTTTTTTTACAGTACAAATACTTGTAATAAAAATAAATATAAAGTGAGCACTGTGCACTTTGTATTCTGTGTTAATTGAAATCAATGTATTTGAAAATGTAGAAAACGTCCACAAATATTTAAGTAAATGGTATTCTATTGTTATTTAACAGTGCAATTTATCAATTAATTTTTTTTAATCGCGTGATTAATCGCAATTAATTTTTTTAATTGCTTGAGAGCCCTAGTTTAGACCAATGTATTACAGCCCTCAGGAGACTAATTTCAGTTGTCAGGTTTTCGTGTGTGGGTGCTGGATGATGTTAATGGCCTGTGCTACATAGGAGGACAAACTAGATCTGGTGATCCCTTCTGGCCTTCAGCTTTATGACTATCCTTTGCTGTTGCTTCTATTACAAAGGATTAGAAGCAATTTCTGCTATGAAGAATGTCACAAGGAATTTAACACAACTATCCCAGCTTTTTTGAATGCAGCACCAGATTTTATTTCCTTGAGAGAGATCTGTAAAGCTGCTGAACCAGAACCTGTGTGTGTCATAATTGTTCAGGGCCAGGTAACTGGATTACACGAGCATAGTTCAGGGTGAACAAAGGGGCAGAATTTGGCCCTATGAAAACTGATGCAAGGCTGTACTAAACTATCTTGTATTTGCTCAACAGAGTTTACAGACAGACTATAATCTATACCTGTAACCAGCAGGACAAGTTCCTGGTCAGGACTCCAGCTCATGGTGGTCAGACCACTGTCCACACTCCCAACACATTCGAGCTGTAAGAGAGCAATGAGCAGCGTGAGGTATGTGTGTATGTACAGGTGCGACATATACAACAGCAAGAAAGGCTGAGTGTCTCTCCAATGTATTGTTCTGATTTACAAGGAGCTGGGGGAGATGACAATTGCACCAGCTGTGGCTGCTCACGATTGCTAGAGCTGTGCTCTGGTAACAGGCCACAATCCCTTTTGGTGAAGAGAAGGGAAACTCCAGATACCTGCAAAATGACTCCGTCTTATACACAAGGAGTCTCAGTACACACACAGTGAATTGCAAGACACCAAAATATATTCCAAGCAAAAACAGTAAGCATTAAAACGTTAGTTAAACCTGAGAAATCAATTTGTAAAGCCAAGACATCTAAGATTAGAAGTTAAACCTTAACTCTGACCCTAGTGTTCATGCCAGAAAGTATCATCTCTGACTCATTAGACAAGTTGTTAATACATACTATAGGACATGATCTTTCATACACTAAATGACAATACTTTACGCAGTCTTCAGACTAAGCTTGATTTTTTTTAGTCTGAGTAACATTTGCAAAATATGCCACATGTGAACAGTGTTGGCTGAGATGGCAATAGCAGCTATCCAAGCCCTGGTCTACACTACGGGGTTAGGTCGATTTTATAATGAATGCATCTACACAACCAACCCAGTTCCGTCGACCTAAAGGGCTCTTAAAATCGACTTCTGTACTCCTCCCCGGCGAGGGGAGTAGCGCTAAAATCGACCTTGCTGTGTCGAATTTGGGGTAGTGCAGGCGCAATTTGACGGTATTGGCCTCCAGGAGCTATCCCAGAGTGCTCCAATGTGACCGCTCTGGACAGCACTTTCAACTCCGATGCACTAGCCAGGTACACAGGAAAAGCCCCGGGAAATTTTGAATTTCATTTCCTGTTTGGTCAGCGTGGTGAGCTCAGCAGCACAGGTGACCATGCAGTCCCCCCAGAATTGCAAACGAGCTCCAGCATGGACCGAACGGGAGACACTGGATCTGATTGCTGTATGGGGAGAAGAATCTGTGCAGGCAGAATTCCAATCAAAAAGAAGAAATGCTGATATATATGCCAAAATCACACAGGGCATGATGGACAGAGGCTACAACAGGGACACACAGCAGCGCTGTGTGAAAGTTAAGGAGCTCAGGCAAGCCTACCAAAAGACAAAGGAGGCAAACGGTCGCTCCGGGTCAGAGCCCCATATATGCCGCTTCTATGATCAGCTGCATGGCATTCTAGGGGGAATACCTACCACTACCCCACCACTGTCTGTGGACACCTGAAAGGGGGGAGTCTCACGTAACAGGGAGGAGGATTTTGCGGAAGAAGAGGAGGAGGAGGAGGAGAAGAAGAATGCGCAGCAGGCAAGCGGTGAATCCGTTCTCCCTGGCAGGCAGGACCTTTTCATCACCCTGGAGCCAATACCCTCCCAAGGCAGGATCCCTGAAGGCGGAGAAGGCACCTCTGGGTGAGTGCACATTTGTAACTACAGTACAGGGTTTAAAAGCAATAGTGTTTAATGTTTGATTTGCACTGAAGACTTGGGATGCATTCATGGCCAGTACAGCTAATGGAAAAGTCTGTTAACGTGCCTGGAGATGGAGTGGGAATCCTCCAGGGACATTTCCATGAAGCTCTCCTGGAGGTACTCTGAAAGCCTGTGCAGAAGGTTTCTGGGGAGGGCTGCCTTATTTCATCTCTCAACGGTAGGACACTTTACCACGCCAAGCCAGTAGTCTGGAATCATTGCAGCACAAAGCATGGCAGCGAATGGTCCTGGGTTTTGGTCGCATTCAAGCAACAGTCGGTCTATATCTTTCTGTGTTAGCCTCAGGAGAGTGATATCATTCATGGTCACCTGGTTGAAATAGGGGAATTTTTGAAGGGAACAGTAAAAGGACCCCATTCATGCTGGGCTGTTTGCACTTGGCTAAAAGGGCTCATCCCTGAGAATAGCCATGCGGTGGAGGAAGGGGTGAAGGGATCATCCCAGAGAATAGCCACGCGGTGGGGTGGGGAGAGATGCATACTACACATCCACCCGAAAACTGCTGTCCCTCCTTTTAAATGTGAAACCCAATAGGCATTGCTTGCTATGGGAAAGGAGGGTGCTGCAGTTTGAAAACATTCCCACATGTTATGAAGGCAGAAGAAGCCAACCCCACGTACCACTTGGCTTACCATGGCTTCCTGGAAACCAAATACTGTTGCCCAGCCGTGTGTGATGTGTCACCATACCGGCAGGCGCTCAATATAAAAGGCAAAATGTGACCTTGTACCTAAAGCACATGTGCTGTCTGCTGTGAATTGCTTGATTCATTGTGAAAGTCTCTCCCTTTTGTTCTCAGAAATGTATCATCTTAAATTTTACTCTCCCTTTTTATCCCCCCC